CATGTTGTGCATGCCTTAGCGGTTAGACCATTGACCACACGCGTCCTCGAAAGGACGTGTTGGAGAGGGCAGGGGGGAAAGAAAGGCCGGGAAGAGAATACGCTCCTAATCCCGCGTGAAAGTGCAACAATGCAATCAAGTCGAATAGTCTTACACCAACAGCCTGTTGAGGAGTCAAGAATTTACAAGTCGGTAGGTGGTGCGATAGCGATAGGCTAGAATAAACAAGAATGGAGAACGAAAAACGTTGATGCCATGTCTTGCTACTTTGGGTGCGGTAACTACATGTAGCTCCCGTTATCACAACGCATCTCATTGTTTGTGGCATTGGCCTGCTCACGTTTGCAAGTGACACGTTGGCAAGATGTACGTGCAGTGTTGTTTCGAGACCACCTGGGCCCCTACCCAAATAGCGTATGCATACATAGGCACGTACGTAGAAGGGTGGATTTCGCCCTTAATCCCACAGGCCATCGCGCGAAACCTTGACCACTGCAAGGGATATGCCTGCCGCGCCAGCACCCGTGCTCGAGGGCGTTTTAAGCCGGGGGGGTATCCTACTTGTATTATACGAGAGTCGAGATTTCCTGCTGTGCCACTGCTGTTTGTTTCCCTTAGAATTACATCGTAGATTGCAGATGACGCCCGCACTTGAGAACCTCTAGTTTCGTCCGAGGCTGGAGTTCTTGATTTGCTGATCATCCTCTTGTGGGCTACAAATGGCCGCCATATAGGTTTTAGTGTGGGGTTCTCAACCGAGCTCACAAATGGTGCTCAAGTTCTTAGCTTGTGTTTTTTTGCGAATCTCAATTTCTTAACTGCTAAGTTCTTAAGTGCGGGCGCTATCTGTAGTCCGAGTAGTTTCCTTCTTCTGTGCAACTGCTGTTTTTGTCCGTTGATCAATCCTATTAGTCTAATCTTTTCCCTCGTTACGTTTCGTACCTGCCTGCTGCTGCTGTGTGCTCGAGGAAGGGCTTCAGAAACGCTGTCACTGCAGGAATTTGCACGGACTCCTCACTCGTACACCAGCCCGATGCTACAAGCCAGTTAGTTACAAGGACCGACGACCAAAGGACACACTGCCCGTACAACTGTAATCAACAAGTCTGAGGAGGAGCTATTTATATATTAATAGCTGCAAGTGCACCAACACCAACATTTCTCTTTCATCGCCGCGGGCGGGCGCTTCCGACGCCCCTTCGTGGACTTGACTGCTGGTGGTGAGAAGGACAAACAAACGTCTTTGATGTGGTGCGCTGCTGTCCCCACGTCGTGTTGGGCCTCATTTAAGCACTGCGTGAGTCAGGAGGAGGCACGCGCCCGCCGGCTTGTATATACGCGGGGGCACACGACACCCCGGATAAATCATAGTGTCTGTACCGCGTTCGACCAGCATACCTCCGCCCAGCTCTATGACACACACCAACCCTCACTCACGACTCTGGCAGCAACCTTCGTCTTGAATAGTTTCGTATTGATAGGGCACGCTCTCCCATCCCGTGGTCGGCGAAACACCTACATACATAATAACAAGAACATGGGGGAGTTTCACCGATCTTAAGCATATATGGATACCTCCTCTGATCTTTAAAGGGTCACACACCTGCTCTTCCCCGATGATAGGCTCCCCTTCTTGCATCCTACAATAGGCCACCCTCGAACCGTCGTCGCCCATCCGAACAACCACCCAGGCCCAGTCCCTTCTCTCTTCTCGCTGTCCCTGTTCACAATCACCCGGACGGCTTTCCGCAGGGACCACCGAAGGCCCAACGCGATAGCAGTGGACGGCGCGGCGGACGCTGGCGCTGGGTGTCGTGATGCAAGAATGCCACCCCCATCGTTCTCCCCAATCTGCGAAGCCCCACGAGGTGCTGCTCACTGCATCTTCCACACTACACCTCTACGCGCTACGTGTGTACCCAACGTGCATAGCGGTAGACCTAACACCGACTAGAGGTGGGGTTTGGCTGGTGCATTTGGAAAGTTCAAGCGTTTTTGCCTGAGTCACGTGCAGACACACTCGCCTGCACAGATTCCACATCCAGTGTAGAGACGCTGAGGTCCACGCGCAACGTTATGACGGAAGTCGTGTGCCCTGGCAAGCGATTAGGGAGAACAAGCGAGTATCGCGCGGGTCCAGGGACCTATGTGCGAGGGACATATATCTATGCCAGCGTTGTCGGACCGAAGTTGGAGCAGGCGGCGGCAGATGAGGACGGCAAACCATACCTAATTGTGAGTGCGGTGGAATAGACTAAGCATATTTGCAGTCCGAAAGGTACGGTACGGCGGTTGCCTCCATTGTCAGCACTGCGGTTGGTATCAGCCATGCGCTGCGGTAGGAACTGCTCCTGACTGGTGTTATTAGCGGGCCTGTCTGCCTAGTACGGTTTGCTTGCAGCCAGTGGCATTCGCGGGAGGTACGATGGTGTTTACTTTGGATACAAGATGCTCTCCAAAACGTTTGGACATGAACAGAATCAACGCATGCGTGTGATGGTCGTGGTGTGGTATGCGAGGTGACCTAATTCTGCGAAACTCGCTCAGACCGTCCATGGTGTATGCATATGGAGATGTGTGGCCAAGCGAAAACTGGAAGAGACACTCCTGAGAGCCGGTTGAAACGTCAATTTTTCCAGAAGCGCACAGGACTCGCGCTCATCCCCGCGTCGACTTCCTCCGCGGTTGTTTTTGTTGTGCGGAATCACTCGAGCGGGCGGAAAATACATGTAAAGCACTATGCACATGTTGTGTATGTTGTCTTCACATCAAAAATACCGTTCCGGTCTCCACTCACCTTGTAGTGTCTGTACTGGTCCAACTGATGCGGACGCCTTCCGTGATCACAAGCCAAGTGCCCCCCATAGGAGTCCCATAAGGGGGGGAGTACACCTTTCTAAACATAAAGAAATAAAAATGGACACCAGAAAGTTTCTCCAAGTTGCGATTTTTTACCCAACCGACAAACGATCAACAGTAAGGAAAAACTATAATCGGGATAAAGACGATCGACGACCTCGGTCAAAGGGATGAAAGAACGAAAGGCAAAGAGAGAAAGAAGCAAAGAGAAAAAGAAGAAAAACTGAGAGAGAGAAAGACAACGAAACAAAAACGGCAGATAGGCAGGTCCCCTCCAACGCTCCAGTCTACCGGAACAACAACGAAATAGGCAACTATTATACTAACGCGACACCAAACAGATACATGCCGACTTCCGACGACACAACATAACGTCGGGGGCACTGCGAGGGGGGGGGGGTTAGCGACACGACGGGAAAAATATGGTAGTTTCAAAATGTCCCATGAACCTGACGTCTTTTTCCTTGTGGGGCTTTGCGTTCTCAGGTGTCCCAGCCAAAGCGGGCCAGAGCAGCCGACCAAGTGATTCAAGTGGGCGATACTGTGATGGGGAGGGTGACCCGCATCAGCACGAGGCAGGCGTGGGTGGAGATTATCTGCGTGGGAGAGACGGTGTTGCGAGAGCCCCACCGAGGCATCGTCCGAAAAGAGGTGCGCTCAACCATGTACGGCTGGCACGAGTAGGCTTAGTCGTATTGGCCGTGTTGACCCTACACCTCAAAAATGGTGTATCGATCGCTCTTTCGTAAGACTGCTGTAGCCGGTCTATGCAAGTCGTTAGCGAAATGCAAGATCTCGTGCCTGCACGGCTGCATGACGAATTGATCTGTTCGTCATGTCAGCAACACCCGCCAGTCGATCCAAAGCCGTGGCGGTGATGGTACTTGGCGGTTTGCACAAGAGCAGGCTCAGGTCCTGTTGGGCACCCCCAGGTGCGGCCATGTACATAGCGCTCTCATCACGCAGACGAGACCCCGCAAGTCCCATGGCATTTTTTCTCTGTGTCAAATCGCTTGACAGGATATCCGTGCGACAGAAGTGGACAAAGCGGAGGTAGCAAAGTCGCTGCGACCCGGCGACATCATACGAGCGCGCGTCATATCCTTGGGCGATTCTACGCAGTACTTCTTGAGCACGGCGGAGAACGAGCTCGGAGTTCGATGGGCAAAGTCCGCGGCCGGGGCAATCATGATCCCCATCAGCTGGCAGGTGTGCTCGGATAACCCACTTGCTAGCGGAAATGTCTGGCTCGCCTAAGGCGAACAATTGCATGTTGTTTGTGGTGGCCTAGAAGGGAAGGCGTTGAAATGAGTGCTACAAGAAAGATGGATTTCGTGATGCAGAGCAATTCTGCGCGTGATACTTCTTTGCTTATTGCTTCGACTCGATGAAAGTACCAACCAACCAGGCAGCGGAGAGAAGTTTCCAAAGCGCAGGCAGCCCCCCGGTTTTGGACAACGGTGAGCGCCATTTTCGTAACAGAACAACCTCGCCCCGCCCTACCTTGTGCCACGAACCACTGTGTTTGCGTGTTGTTCCGCTCCCGTCCAGGAAATGCAATGCCCAACGACCAAGGAAAAGGAGCCTAGAAAATGCGCCAAGCCGGTGTAGGCTAGCCAGTCGGAGACAACGAACGCGAAAACGCCTTCGTGTACATGAGAACTTCGTAGAGGAAAGGAGGGCAGACAGACCGACGCTACCTGGTGATAGTGCTGCTGATGCAAGAGAGTTTCGATCCCTTTGGCTGTCGGACATAGTGGTCAACCATGGGGCTGCCAGCTCCACGTGTAGCTTCGCATGAGACGTGAAAAGGTTATATGCATACGCCTTTCGTCGCGATACAGCTGGACGGGCTCAGGGTTGCAGTAGACATACCATCCTGGAATAAAAGAGTGTCGTTTTCCGACGCTCGCTGTATTCTCACGTGCCTGCAAGAAACATTACCGATTTTTGTTTATGCTCAGGCCAATCCAACCCCGGGTCACGCTGTCAGCCAAGACTGATACTCTAGGCACAGACCGTGGCGTACCACGAATCCGGCCGAGTCTCCCCAGTTGTAACCTCGGTGGTTTCAAGTCGAAAACGGGGAGAAATTATGTTTCTTTCCTTCCTCCTTCTTCGCTTCTTTCGTTTCAAATCCATGGATGGACTTATCCATCATCTTCATCACCGCCCCCAACTACATCATCCTCGACCCCACACATACATACCCTCCCTGGGGAACAAGCGAGAGGGCTTCAGATGAGACCGGGGCTACCCCCGGGCTGTTATAACCTACACCTGCAAGCGATGGTTACATCGTCATCTTGCTTTCTACTCCAAGTTTCCGCGCCGTCCTGATCGATTTGCTAGGCCTGTCGTTCACGTTCCTTAGCGGGCATCAACATTAGAGGTGACTAGACCATCCGACACGTCGCCACACCGCAGACGGACAATCAAGAAACTCCGTGTCCATGCCTAGAACGCGGATCAACATCGCATCGCACGCCTTGGGTCTTCAAAGGTCACCTACAGTAGTAGAAATCGCCACAAACTGCTGTTTCGAAACGCAAGTCGTTGGCGGCGGCGCAACTAGCGCGCGGAACAACCCGAACTGGGCTACCTCCTAGCCATTTGTCTTCATTCACGGAGCCCTGGCCAGACTTCTGCGACGCTTCGTGAAAATCGACGGCCTTCGGAACCAGTGTTAGCATCAATATTCATCATAATGCCGCAATGGCCATTTAGAACTTTGAATCATGACAAGTCAGCAACACTTCGTCCAAATCACCTCATAACCTCAATCCTATACTACAAAACGACAAGGGGGCACACGGGAGAAAATCCAGCACCGCACAGCCCCAAACTGGATTAGGGGCTAATCTGGAGGCACGCGGCAGGGGGGTACTATACTAAATTCTACTCTATTTTACTTGATCAGGGGGGTCACGCAGAGTTACTTTTGCCGCCCTGTTCGCCCAAACCAGTAGATCTGCCAATCTTACCATTGGCAAATTTGGCTGGCCGTTCTGTTAGCCGTGGTACAGTAGACTCCTGCCACTGACCCTGAAAGGCATTGTTCGTGGTGTTGGCACCTCCCTAGTGTAGTCCTTGCTTTGTCCACGAACAACTCTCTTACCAAAAGAGATACGTACGCATACGCCTTGACTTCAAGACCCAGGGATACTGCTGTCCAAGGCTGAGGCACCAGAAAACAGCGGCGTTACACAAATCAAATTCTCCGGAGTACTATCTACGCTACTGATGCATCGTCACCGGTCACTGCACCGGGTCCGCTACGCGTGCTTCAGGTACCGTTTCGGTCCCTGGGTCGGTCGCTGCACCAGCTTCCGGTCCACGACCAAAGGCTTCTTTAGCTTCCTTTGCCCTCTTCGGCTAGCTTCGCCTGGTAAGCCTCAAAACATTCCATGTGCACTTTCGATTCGTTGTCTTCCGCTTCGGCGTCCCCCAGCTTGCGATCGACGGGGTAGAAAGAACCGCTGAACTCGCCAGCCTTCCGTACTCCCTTTTGGCAATGCAAGCATTTGTCGGCCACCATCTCTTGGTACTCCGACGCGCACTCCTGAGGGACATCCGAGAGAGAGGTGACATGGATGAGAGAGAGCCGAGGTCGATGCACAAGGGCACCTGTCTGCTCGCTACAACAGTCGCCATGTAAAGCTGGCGCGTTTATTTGCACCCTGTCGCTGTTCGAATACGACTCCGTGAAAAAATCGTAACGGTAACCTTGCTGCCGAATGTGCCATACCCAACGACATCCATTTCGAGTTTCCTCAGATGTTTGATAGTATAAAAAAACGCTAGCCCAGAGTCTTGAACCAAGGGCAACGCCAAACATCCTACATATGCAGGCTAGTGGCCCGGGCGATGACAACAAAAAAATTACAGTCATTACCAACAATTACGCTGTAAGGGACGGGGTTCTGCGACAAACCGAACTCGAAAATTATGGTTAACACTTGTAACGCCATGAAAGCTTCTTGAGCTGCGTTCCACGCTGCCCATGTACCTTGTGCACTTTGCCACCGTCGATCATCATGAAGTCCCCGCTGAAGCCTTCCATTCGTCGCACCGCCTTCTTGCAGACCAGGCACCTTTCTGCAGTCGTTTCCTCGTAGGCATCCATGCACTCGGAGTGGACTCTCCGGTTGCCTTCCACCTCGAAGAACTCTCCGCAAAATCTACCCGCCTCGGGTGCTACCGGCTCGTTACACTGCAGGCATTTTTCCGTGTGTTTCTGGTGGTACGCCGACCGGCACTCGACTATACACGAAAAGAGGAGGGGAAATGAAACAAGGGCGCGGTTAGACACTCAGGCGTTTTGCGATGATCAGGGATATTGATAACGAGCAAGGCGAAGGAATGCGCTATCGTCGCCAGGAAAGAGCTACGCGTGACAACAGTGCAAACGTTGCCCTCGTGCAACGAGTGGTATGTACCCACTACGAGAACACCGCGAACACCGAGGTAATAGGTGGTCGCCTAACACGACACGACAGCACTTCCGTGCCAAGCGTGAGAACACTTCGTATCCCCGCCGGGAAGAAAGGAAGAAAGGAAGACATCACAAACGCACCGTGCACTTTTATTCCATCCCCAAGCGTAACGTAGCTGCCGCTAAACTTGCCCTCCACGAAGGACAGCGGCTCGCCGCACTCTCCGCACTTTTCCGCTGCTGGTTTCGAGCCCTTGTAGGCCTCCCAGCACTCGCTGCAGGCCAAAGAAAAAGCAGCGGGTTTGTGAGAGCAAGGTTCACTTGTTAAACATGACGCTCTTCCAGCAAGTTAACCGCGGCGGGTTCTCGCTCTCGGCTGCTGTTTTGCTTCAAAACGCCGCAATATTTGTCACGTAGTTGTGTTGTGGTAAACAATCAACCATTAGTCGTGGTTATTGCAAGGCTTGTAAATTGGCCGCAGTGGGAGTAACCATTACGTCGGGCTCCCGCATTCATCCTACCGGATACTCTGAAGTCTGGCTTCAAAAGGGTGGCTGGTGGCCGAAACAGGTCTGGTATAGTAGATGTGTCGTGTTGCGGTGGGGGGATACTTTCGAGCAGCCAGTGGGAACGTCAGCGCTAACCTGAGAGCCCAGCAGTTGCTTGGTCCCGTGAGTACTAAGAGTTGCGCGTGAGAGCACGTGCGACTATTAAGCTTTCTTCTCGGAATACTCAGTATGTCGGCAAAAACATGGGTAAAGGCCTGTACACGTCTTGCCAAAGCAACACCATGCAAGACCCGGGTTACCCCGGCGTCGGCGTCCGTGTTACCAAAGCGGACTGTTCAATGCTGGCACCTTCTTACCGGGTAACTACAAAACAGTAGAAACAGGACCTCGTACCAAGTGTTTTGGGCTGTTTGACATGAAACACATCACCTGTGAATCTTCCCCGGAGGATCAATGCTAGCGTAGAACTTGCCGTTGAAGCGCCCGGGAAGATGCGCCACGGGCCCTTCGCAGTGTAGGCACTTGACGGAACATTTCTCGTGGTATTTCTCCCAACACTCCTGTGAAAGAGAGAGGTGTTGCGACAGACGAGGAGTATCAGACTTGGAGAACGAAGAAAATCACATGCTGCCTCCAGTCGACGCATGGCGGGGACAGCTGCTCACAGCAGGGAGAGAGGGAGAGAGGGAGAGTGCTACAGGCAAGTACTGCTGGTCGTACAAAAGTCCGTTGTGAACGAGTCTGGTCGCTATTTACGTTCTGTAGACTCTTTGCGACGACGCTGGCTAAGAACTACATTTCGCAAGAACTAAGAACCCTGCACCGAACAGCAGTCTATTGATCAAATTAACCACAGTAGCGGTAACGCCGGAAGACGGTACCGAAAGCCCGGGGGCCATTACCAACTACAGCAGTAAACAGCATTACACCTGGAATCTGTGTGTCTCGCGAACAACACCTGTAACCTGTAACCTGGTGAATTGTGCCGCCCTCCTCCTCAGGTACTGTGTAGAATACGCCGGAGTGGGTCTCGTCTTTCGCGATAACAGCGTGGCAGAAGCCGCACTTGTCCGGCTTCTTTTTCTTGCGAAGGAGGTTGTGCAATCGAGACATGATGAGCGGCAGAGAGACACAGCAGAGGAGAGAGGAGAGTGCTGGGCGACCAGGAGGGCGGCACAACATGACTCGTCTATCTCCTCAATCTCCGTTTCAAAGCAGGCGGGTATGCGTGGAGCATACACGGAGCCCCCTGATATTGACTGTTGATAGGCTCCGGCGCCTGACCACGACACCGTCTTCATTGACCGAGTCTAGAGAGTCGAAGCACCACGCACACCGATGGAGCACTGCTACCGACCAAGACATCATAGACTGGAGCTGATTCTTCTCTGTGGTGCAATTCTGTCAGGAGTACAGCTAGGTGCGAGATAACATTTTTCCCCAACGCTTGCGTCGTACGGCCCACATGATCCGCAAACGAGAGACACGAACCTCCCTTGAACTTCAGTGGTAACCGCGCTTGAGTGCGTGGTTTTATGCTGACGTCGATCAAAACCCGAAGAGATATAGTGTATGGTAGACTAAAAATGATTCGCACGGTCTGGGTTCGCAGGGACCAATGCCTTCTGCCCGTCGAGCTTCAGGAGGCGCCCTGTTCGGATCACCGACGCCAATCGGCGAACAGCAACTGCTAGGAGCGCGGTCTGCGAGCATAGCGATGATACGGGAGAGCCTCCTCTTTTCAAGAGCGTCGAAGATCTGGAAGGTAAGCCGCTACTTATCAACTGGGGTGCCCGCCAATCCAATTCCCATCGATCCGAGTTAGGTGCTTTTTCACTTGGGAATCCGAACGAGGTGTTCACTGGAACGCAAATAGAGCCGGTGTCGCTCAGATACAGCGGTAGCGTGCAGTCACGGACTTGCCGCCCTCCCCTTTACTGATCCCACCCGTGGGGTCATGGCGAACACCGGAGGTTCCTGCATAGCTGTGGGTCTGTCTCCCCCATTTTCCTGCTGGTTCTAAGGCTGATGAATCCTCTGCTGGCTATGTATCTACCGCTCTCAGCGCTGACCGTCGTCAAGCTCAAGCAAGAGCTCAAGGTGCGTGGACTGAAACACTCCGGGAGAAAGGCGGACCTCGTCCGTCTTCTGGCTGCCGAACCTGGCGTTCTCACGCCGCCATCACCACCACCATCACCACCATCATCACCACCCGGAGACGTGCTTTCCGACGAGGAAGTCGCCCGGTGGATGGAGGAGGACACCGTCCTGCCGCCACCACAACCGAAGCCGAAAGGGAAGAAGCGAAGGCCAACAAGGCCGGTGGCGGTGACGGCGGAGGAGGTGCTGGGGGGCATACCAGCAGCAAGAACGTTCTCCTCTTCCCGTCTCGGATCCGCGGCCGCTGCTAAAGAGCTGATCAGGGATGCCGAGCTCGCGGACGTGGTCCCTGCGCGCGCGCCTCCCAAAGACCAGGCGGCGAGTCGCAAGACCCGAAGCACTGAAATGGGCCAAGCCAGCGCTTTATCGTCTTCGTCTTCTGGGAAGGCCGCTGCCACAACGCCTCGTCGTTCGAACACCAACAACGGGGCCAAGCCCGGTGACGGCCCCGCCACCGGGGCTTCGACGACAACCCCGCCGCTGCTGCTGCCCGAACCAACGGAGGACATGAGAAAACGAGCGATCATCATGGATCTCTTGGAGCGGCGGGAGACCACCTTCGAGCTGGAGGAGGGCCTTCACCCGGCCGACTTGCCGCGCAGCGGCGCGTACGTGGTGAGCACGAAGAAGGCGCTCCGTCCCTGGGACGGCCCGCACGCGGACAGAGCCGAGACGCACGTGGTGGTGCTCCTGACCGATGTCTTCGGGTACGGCGACTCCTTCACGAGGAACGCCGCGGACGAGATCGCGGAAGTTTGCGACGCTATTGTCGTCGTTCCGGACATGTTTCGGAGACGACCGTGGACCCACGAGCAGCCGGAAGAGGAGTACGAGGATTGGAGGTCTTCGCACGATCCGGTGCGGTGTGCCTTAGCAAAGAATGGCTTGTTGTTGTTCCCGGCTGTGCGTGTTGGCCAGTGGAAGATTGTGTGTTGAGTTTTACCGATATTGAAGCTGCAAAGGATGCCCAGCATCGCCGGACTTGTCTCCATACTCCGTGGCCAGCACCATGGTATTGTCGCATTCACGTACTGTACACGCGTGTTTGTGGTTGTTTGCTCGGGGAGGCAGGTATGAGTCGTGCTCACCCACGAACCGTTGTCCGTGGCTTGTAACATAACTACTGCTGATTTGCAAGCCTTGAGCCTTTGAATTCGGTGGGTCTGGCCTATACGGAACATTCAATTCAGGCGCTGCCCCGATTGCCGAACAGGATGCTGTGGCCAATGATATCCGGGCCTGCGTTGACTTCGCGAGAAAAGAATTCAAGGCCACCTCGTTGGGTCTGGTCGGTTTCTGCTACGGAGGCGGAAGAGCGCTGGAGGAAGCGGCAGCAGGTGATGTCCCGTGGAGTGCCCCTCCTTCCACCCCTGGTTTTGTAGCTGGTGTGCAACTGCTTGTAGCAAGCGGCGCTGAAGCTGCTGTCAACCTGTGGAGTTAGGAGGCGCGGGCTTTCGGTTTGACGTGATGCACGTCCGCTGTGGGGCTTCATCAGAGAAAGACTACCCGCTCGGCCTCTTCAAATTGTGTCGTCTCTATCGTCTTGATGTTTTCCCCCCTATTCTGTTCTTGCTTCGCCCTGTGCAGGTGTCGTCAAGCCGGACAACGTGGTCGTCTTCTACCCAACGAGATATGATGTCAGCGAAGTGGCTTCACGAGTGACGTGCCCTGTCGCCGCTTTCTTCGCCGAACACGATGTTTTGCCCGGAGCCACAGTTGAAGATGCGTGCGCTCTTCGCGAAAAGCTTCGGGACAACGAAAAGGCGAGTGAATGCGCCAGCCAGACTACTGTTCATTCTTATGCATACAAACGTCGCTCTAGGCTCAGTGTCCCTTGGTTCAAAGTATACCAAGCGTAGTACAGGCGCGGCCGATCGCAGAGTTGAACGCCGAGAGTAACCCCCCGAAATTGGAGTACGAGCTGCAACTCAAACTTCCGAAGAGCAAACAACGGTGCGCCACCTGTGTGGAATATCCCATTGGAGGCTATTTTGTCAGGTTTTAGTTTGCGACTGCCGATGGGAAGTCAAGGGAGGATGATTCCTTGCGTGTGCATGCGCCGATACGAGGGCACATACCTACAATATTCCCAACATTCTTGTCCCACGCCTGTGAGCGCGAAAGTCTTACACGCCAGTTAGACCACTGCGGGTGTTGGTGCTGAGCAGAGATAAGAGGACCGGTTTTCACCGTGAAGGACAACAACAACAACACCTTCATATTGCAAGCCATATTGTCCAGAGGTTTCTTTATTGTCTGTCGAAAATTGAAGGAATATGCGATCTTCCCGACAACCACCACACTTTCTGCGTTTCTAATTGATCATGTCCCCTATCACCACCAACACCCTACCACCGCCACCCACCCCGTGTATCACAGGTGCCAGATTTCCAGGTGAGGCTTTGCCCAGGGGCTGGGCACGGCTTCGCGCACCGGCCAACGGAGAAGGACACGGAGAACGCTGAAGACGCCATGTTGTTGGCAACCTCTTGGTTAGAACTATACCTTCAGAAGCACTTCCCGACGGATCCCGGCGGGGTGAAGGAGTCAGAGTTCGGGTTCTGGGACCTGCCGGCGAAAAGCGGGGCCTCATAGACCGACGTTGTATGTTCAAGTTATCGAGTTCTGACACAGCAGTAGGCGCGAGGACATTCTAGGCACGATTTATTGGGAACGTGACAGGCACTCCTGGTGTTGTAATGGGAATTTTTTCATCTTCGGTTCGACTTGCAGATGTTGTACGCGCTACAAGAGGATGTGATATCCTTTCATTGGCGGGCTGGTCTCGTTTCAAGCCGAACTAGGACCAGTTGGCCTACCTTTCGTAGTGCAGCTCTCGATTTCATCTGTGTGTCCATGTAAGCGCAGGTTTTCCTGCGAGTACTTCGGGCTCTCATCGACGTATGGCCATTCGAATCCTCAATTGCAAATTGGGGTTTCACTCGCGAGTATCCAGAACCGACTATTCGTTATTGGCACGTGATGTGATGTGACAGAAATCGTGTGAAAAAAGTGAGACTGGTTTTCTCCTCGACCTTCATGTCTCGCCGATCGCCACAGAAAAGCCATCATTATCAACTCTGGCGCATCCCACAGTTCGTCGGTGGTCGTAACAAGAAGAAGACACAAGATCAACGCAAGTGGCGTTTCGTGGAAAAAATGAAAAATAGCATCAGAAAAAAAAATGCTGCCGCCGCTTTCATGTATCCGACGACAGCATACCAGTCGAAAGATTGTTTCGTTTTTTGTATTTTTGTATTTGGATCTGGGAAGTCTGCCAACCAGACGCCTCGCGCCCATCGGCGAGGAAGGAAGTCTATGGAGCGGTGGAAACAGAGCGTATAATACACAACCAGTCCTACAGTCGGATCGTTGTGGTCATGTGATCTCTTGGTCGTGGAGTAATCGAGCTTTACATCGCTCCCGGGGGTGTGTTATCTTGTGTCGTATATCGTAGCACCCCCCACAGAAAAAAATACCACACCCGGCCCCCATGTCGCACGTTGTTCTGCTCCGCAGTCCGTGCTGCGCTGTCTGGTCTGCAAGTGTATCGTGCGCGCAACGACTTGTGCACGCAGAGACAGTCTCCAATAGCCCCGAGAACGTACAATGTGTTCACGGTGTTGATTGCGCGGGCTGCTTTTGCGTTGCAACCGAGCTGGTGGAGGTATTCTACAGCAGTTGCGCCAGCCGCTGTTTTCGACGGAGAGAGGATGGGGGTCAATACTTTGTTGAAGCACCTCGGCCCATGCTTGGAAGACAGCCACGTCGAACGCTTCCGCGGCAAGACGGTTGCGTTAGATGGGAACACCTTCATCTTTAGAGGTTGCTACAGCTGCAGCGAGCAGGTACGCCTCGTATTTACTGTCTGGAAAACAAGTTGTTCCGTTGCTTTTGGCTAGAATTCAAATTCAGAAAATTCAAATTTGCTGTGGGTTTTGTTTGATTGAACGGAATACGAGAACGCGTGAGCATCGTATTACTTAAGAAGGTATTGTTGCTGAAGTCGCAACAATCCTGGTGTATAGCAATCGACCCTGGTAGATTGCACTGCAGGTTGGCGGCGCCAGTTCATGACTTGAACGCCCTTATTGAGTGGTTTTTCAAGCGGGTGAATTTCTGCTGCACCCTACATGTACAGCAGGTAGGTGTACCCACCTCCTGCCGTTGTGCAAGACACCATACGCCCTGTACCGATGTCCAAAGCTTGATTTCTCTGCAGCAAAGGCAGTGACTGCTGTGCCACAGTGGCCGCCTTGGAACCGCGTCGTCGAGAGTATTCCGACAAGTTATCATTCGATAATGGAGTCCTCTTCATGGTGGAGGAGCCGAGCTTTACAAATCGGTCCAGCGGGTGTAGTATCTTACGAAACCTACGATGTCAATATTCAAGGTATGCTGTGCCCCCTTCGTACAGACGGCAGTGCAGACATCTTCCTAGAAATCCCCAAAACTCCTGAAGTTTGTAGGTTTTGACTATCTGTAGCTTCACCTTGAAGACACCATGGCGATTTTGTTTGGGGTACTTGGACACAAGATCCGATCTGCAGAGAATATGTGTGGGGGGGGGCATACTGCTGGGGGTTCCAAGTGCGGAGCCCCTCGTGAGAACCCGCGCATGTGATGACTGTGTCTGTGAGATACTGTGTATGTTGTGCTGGAAGAGCACGTGTGTGTTAGTCGAGGTTATATATCATCTGCATCGGTCCTCTGGATTAACATAGTCCCCAGACAGACATCATACCGTGGATGGGCACGGTGTCCTCCGTGGGTGGGCACGGCAACCTCCGTGGGTAGTCACGGGGGTACACAAACAGATTTCGCGGCCGTCGCGATTTTGTCGAGGATCCAAGACCACATGAATTTGTTACATATGGTATTTGCACTGTTGGGCTGAGATGCCATCTGGGCGGGTGTATCGGTAGAAATACACCGACCACCTGCCTAGATTCCTGGTATTCCTAGGATAGCAAGTAGCGGTACAATAGCATTGATAACAGCAACAGCAGTTACGCGTTCCCTCTTGCTCAGTATTGGGAGTGAGCGAAAGCAGGCGACGGAGAGAGAAGGAAAGATAAGGAAGGAACCCGACTGCTGAAACGGAGCCGCTAACCTGCATCAGGTCGTTGCCAAAACGTACTCCATACGCTGTCTAAGGGATTCACACCTATCGTAGACCACCGGGTGCAACAAGCCGAAACGATCCTCCGCAACTCCCTGCCTCCTTTCCTGGGGAAAGACAGCGATTACTCATTTCTGTCGCTGCTTCAGCGTGGTTGCCGTTTTGGCTATTTGTGCCGACGTACGACCACACGTGCGAGTAATCGGTGTCTCTTCCCAGGAAAGGGGGCAGGGTTGCGGGGGATTATTTCGGCTTGTTGCACCCAGTCTATAAATAGATGTGGTTCGCTGAGACAGCGTATGGAGTACGTGTTGGCAACGACCTGAAGAGGCGTGGAGCGGTACCAGGCGGTGGACGCGCCCCAACCGTCGGCGTAGGTGGTGTGCTTGGGCTTTGGGGGAAGGCCGGAAACGGCGAAGGTGTGCTCCGCGGTGCGCCCCGTCTTGGCAGGCGATGGTCCCGAAGAAGAAGGTGGAGAGATTGTTCCTTGTTAGTCGTCACGGCGGATGGATGCGTTGCTGATGGCCAGCACGGGGCGTGAGGTCGAGATCGACGTCGGCGTTCTCTGTCCCGAGCGGGAAAGGCCGCTTAGTCTTCCGCCTCGGCTTCGGCTCGACACCTGGAGCATCAGAGCACGGACCCTGCTACGGCACGTCCTCCGTCCTCAAATCTTCCGCACTATCCCGGCACACTACATACTACAATAGTCTGCCGCTCAACCCTCGTCGCAAATTGAGGCACTCTGACTGACCGCAATTTTCGAAAAGAGGCTTCGCATGCATAATTAGTTCAACCAGTATCAATGATAGGAGGTGCCAGCACTGAGACGAGATCGGAACGTCAAAGACAGCACCACCCACCACCATCACCCAACATGATTTGTTCGTGGCCTCGTGGGAAACAGGTGGCGTTGGGGCAGGCTTGCACAGGACCGGTTGACCATTTGATGAAGCGGGTACGCATGCTCAGGCACTACGGGGTCAAGCCATGGGTAGTGCTCGATGGGAGGCGCACGCCTTTGAAGGTAAATTTGTATGGCTTGACACGTTTTGGCGGAATGTTACATGGTACCCATGAAGTACATAGTTCTGATCGTCCGACTACCGTGCCAGCATACTTTGGGCGGAGAAACTCAATATACACTAGTGATTTTCTGAGCTTCGACAAACCAACGATTGTCTGAGCTGGCCTCTCGAATAATGTGGACTCGTGGCGGGTACATCTTTTTGTTTCTCGTGCGTGGATGTCCTCCACTCAGCCAGGCGTTCCAGCTGGCGCCACGTTCGTTCGTGCATGCCATCTTGCCGGAGGCGTTCTGCTGTAGCATTTACGAACTGCAGGTGGTCGTCTTGGGGCTTTTTTCGTTCTTGGCGTTCCAAGCACATCTGCACGGCAGACTCAGGGATCAAACCCCTGTAACTTTGCATATCGGTAGTCAAAACCGTACTGTTAATGAAAATGGACGTGGTTCCTGTGGCGATCATAATACATCTACTAACAAGCGTCTCGTGACCAGCTGCTATTGTTGTAAAGCCACAGCAAGGTGGCACGCAACAGTTGGTGTGTAGCAACCGTGGGGAGACACGCGCTTTTCGAATGATGTTCCTTCTAGATGAGATTAAGCAGCAGCAGCAGCGGCAGCAGCAGTAGCAGTAGCATCAGCGGAAACACGATTGGCACGGTAATCCCCGCGAGCATTCTGGTTTCTTGACAGGACGACACGGGCAAGCAACGCCGGCAAGAGCGGGAGAAGAACCTGTCCATGGCCAAACACTTCAGGCGGCAAGCCGAGGACAGCAGTGCCGGCCCTGAGAAGGACGCCCTTCTCCAGAAAGCTCAGACATTCTTCCAAAAGGTGCCACGCTTCGTAGCCTGTATTAACGTATCAACCCTGGCTTTCCGACGACTAATGAGTTAGTTGGTGGCGAGCTTTGGGCAAAAACACCAAGCGGCGAAAACACGCAAAGATTTGGACAAGGGCTGCGTGTGCTGCCCGTGAAAGAAGGTCGCCCAGGCACTAAAATACCAAATGCCCCCTTGGAGACCTCATGTTTTAGGTGTTTAGAGATCTTGCTCTGAAACATGCACGCCGTCAATCAAGCAGGTGCCATCGAGGCCAATCTGCTCCCTTTCCTCGGACACGGGGATATCTCCGTCACTATCGTTGCTTTTTTTCTTCTCCCTGCCCTGTTACGCTCGCCCGCAGAGCATACACGTGACGAGGCAGATGGTGACGAACGCCATGTCAGCCTTGAAGCGAGAGGGCGTGGAGTGCATGGTTTCTCCCTACGGTAAGCAGGCGGGAAACTTGCTGCCGTTTCGTTTTTTGTCTCATTGTGTGTCGCGTTGGAGCTGCCTGTGCCCACGCCGTCCCAGCGCGCGGTGTTTGTTTGGCCGCGTGTCTTTGTATGTGCTAAGGCCCAGGATATTGCCTTGAGATGTAGCGTGTCCTAGGCAGTGTTTTTTTTTGTTCTCCCTTTTCTTTCGTTGTTGAGGCCATTGATCTGGGGCAGGTACATTCCCTCCTTTGTCAGACCGCACACAACACGGTCATCTCGTCATTATTGTTTGGCACGCATTATTTTGTCTTTGCGCATCCGTTTGTAGCAAACGATTCTCACGGGAACCAAGCAGGCTTTTATTTAATTTTTTCACAGAGGCCGACGCTCAGGTGGCCTTCCTCGTCAAGTCCGACCTGGCTAGCGCCGTCATCACCGAAGACTCGGATATCCTGGTCTACATGGCCGCCGTCAAGTCTACGGCCCCGGTGCTCTACAAGATGGACGAGTTCGGCACGTGCAAGGAGCTTGGCTTTGATCCGGAGAAACTGTCGAGCCTCCCTGGTACGTGCAGCGCGTTCCTACCGCGTCGGGCGTTGTTTGTACGGTAAAAGGGATGATTGCATGCAGCAGCGGCGTTCGGGTATTGTCAAGGTTGAATACCTCTTGCGAGATATGTGGGGACGGACATAACTGCACAAGACAAATACAGCAGTTTTTGTCAGCGGTACACATCCCGCGAAGTGGGCTTTCCTGCTCCGAAGCATCCCTTTGTATAGACAGCGATTTCCGACAGGTGGACGGGAGTGTCGCGGGCGCTTCATGCCCTGTGATGAAATTATGCCGGGCAGTCGGAGGTAATAATAGCAAGCCGCTTCACACAATAAGACTGTTCCACCGCTCCTTCAGTTTCGGGCTTGTTGACGGATCAACCCCTAACAAATCCCGGAGCCGCGTTTGGCGGGTTGTCACCATAGCACGATGTATACTTTCTTCTTATTTTTCGCACAGGAGTAATCGGGAAGTTTGGGAGAGGGCTGTCGATCTTTTCGGGCGAAGGAGGTGGGCGCAGCTTCGTCCAGCTCGCGGCACTGGCGGGGTGCGACTACGTGGACAACATCAGAGGCCTGGGTCTGCTAACGGCGCTGCCAATCGTCACCAAGTTCAGGCGCACTCTGGCCGACAAGCGGGTTTCGCACATCCTCATGCACGTACAGAAGATGGGGAAAACGGCAAGTGACGCGCATCAGTTCCCACTCATTCGCTGTCTCAGATGTACCAATAGAGACAGCGTGTCGAGCCAACAGCTCCGTATGTGGGCGGGCCCGTTTGCTGCCACGCAAGCGGAACAAATGTGTTCTCCGGGGTATGACGAGCGTCCACCGAAGCATTTGATGACTCAGGAAGAGACGGGTTAGATGCCAAAACTCTCGAACCAATGGTTACACCTGGGTGCGAACGGAACACCTCGGGGTTGCGAGGGATATATGAATTTTGGTGGTGTCTGGATTCGCCAGAGCCAGCGTTTTGGTGCAAGGCTGTATGAGCACGACCAAACTGGCATCCGCACGGGGTGTGCACCTTGTTGTGTGGTGTCTGGTTTGACGACGCCCGGCGTTGCGGGTGCTTGCGCGACACCTGCTTCGTGTGCTTCACTGCAAGCTCCCGCAAAATCTGATGGTTTCGCGTCGCTCGCAGATCCCCACGGGCCACCGAGAACGAATGCATCTCGCCGAGATGAGCTTTTTCTGGCACCGCGTTTACGACCCTAGGACCAAGAAGTGCGTGCACTTTTGTGAGGCTGCCCCGGAGCTCATGGGCACCGCGGACGTCCCCGCCCTTCCATCGACCGCCGGTGGAACCGCCTTCCTAGGGTACGTGTCCTGCATCTGTTGCATTTGTTAGCAAACGTTGTTATCCACCTTCCGGGGGTACGTGTCCTGCTGCTGTTGCGTTTGGTAGCAAACGTTGTTGTTCTTGTGTTTTTTTTGTCGTTCTGGCCGTCCGCTCCCGTCCTTCAGCAGTATTATTTTGAACGCCGTGCTTCCTCGGTCATACTTTCGATCGGTCGCGAGGACACCCTAGTCCACCTTGCGTTGTCGCAAATCACCCCCCCCCCTCCCCACGTACGCAAGGAAGTAAGCACAAGATGCCGAACACCCTTAGCAGGATGCGGCGCACCCTTCATGCGACTCGCCGAATACCGCACGGGTGTTCGCGCTTGGTGATGTGAGAGCCTGGTCCGGTGAGAACCCGTCGTGCTCCGTCCCGGCTTTGCAGGGATGCCAGGTCAATGCTCTCACGACTACGGCATGCACGACTATGAGCACACACACACACACACACCCTCCCCACGTGTCGGCCCGTCTTGCCAGGGAGCCCATCGAGGACGAGATGATGGTGAACATCTCCCGCGGCAACGTAGACCCGGTCACGGGAGAGGCCGTCACAGCCGAAACGTTTCCCGCTTCGGGTGCGGCGGGGTTTCGGCGTGCCGAAACGCATCAGCCCCGTCCCAGCTGTAGCGGCCAGCGGCGGAGCATCGCACCCTCTGATCGCCCGCGGAGCGCCACCGTGCGGACAACCACACCGAGTGGGTCGCAAAACCAGCGAAGTGAGTCGCGGGGGGCGCGTCCTTCTACCCAGCAGGGGCAGAAGCAGGGTCGGGATTGGAGAGGCCGCGAAGCCCAGGCTTCGGCAGGCAAGCGCGGTGGTAGTGGCGGTGGCAGACTGCTAAAGGAGATGTTTGAGCGAGCGAGATCGAGGGCGGAAGAGGAGGAGGAAAACTTCTCCTCGCAGCAGAAGACGCGGTATTCGGCGCCGGGCTTGCAAGACGTCTCGGAGATCGTTCTCGCCTGCGGATCCGGACCAACGCCAGGGCGCCGCGGAAGGGTTGCTGATAGCTCTTCGACGCCCACTGCAGCCCCCAACCCGTTCGCGAGAAAGCCGGGGGGTTCGGCCGCGGCACGTGCGGGGGCCGCTAGTTTCCACACACCCGACGCGCTTACGGCTGCCGATACCCGGTTTAGAGGCGATGGCGTTGCCCTGCGTCCCACGGCGTATGGGGGAGGAGATCCGGACGCGTGGTCTCGGTTGAGCAAGGGATGCCTGACGGCTTGCGCCCAGAAGGAAAGAGGAGAGGATACTTTTAGCGCAACTAGGGGCGCCGCCCACGCGGTGGGAGAGAGTCTCAAGGATTGTGGAGCGCGCCGGGCGGCGGTGGCCCCAAGCGGGGCGGCGTCTGCCGCGGCCGAGTTCGCCGGGATCACACCCGTCGCCCCTAAGCGCCCGCTTTCGCGTGGCGGAAGCGGTAGCGGTCGAGGGAAAAAGGCGAAGCTAGGGGTGGGATGTAAGGCTGGGCCGCCTAGAAAAGGAGCGACGATGCTGTCGTTCTTTGGCCGCGCCGCGGCGGTGTCCAAGCGCTGAACCATGCCTGTGTGTGTGCAGACCGTACACGCCAATCTGTGCGTTGCTCAGAGCCGGTTCCGATAGAGGGATGTGCTTGCTCGGGAATCTTTCGGGCTTTTGGACCCTTGAAACACTTCATGGTGTTTTTTCGGAGTGTCCCTCGTCGGTGGCACCTCCGTGCCTCGTGAAGTTCCGGTGTGAGATTATTCTTTCGGTAGATTGAGTTGTAACAAGCAATCGTTTATATTCGGGTCTGTGCCTCGTTCATTTCCGGCTCTGTGAGATGAATCTCTCTGTAGTTGGAGCAGTGACAAGCAATGCCTGCCAACGCCTAGACGCACGTCATGCCGTGTCAGCATCGCCTACAACAGAGTGGGCATATCATTGAAGAGAAGGTATATTTATTGTGTTCCGGGGGATGGTACGGAAGTTTCACTGCCTCGTGGGCTATACCTCAGCGAGCAAGAAGCCGAATCCGTCAAGAACATATGCTTACGTTAAAGTATTTAGGATTGGCTTCCCTATTATTTCCTCAGAATTGCCTGACTTGGTGTTGCTACCTTAGTTCCGGCAGATTTGCTTGCATGTCGAGCACGCGGACTAATAGGCGCAACGTGGTTGCTCGAACACTTTGCGCCTCGTGATTTATAGGAACTGCAGTTAACAATCGGAAACTCCGAGGAGGAATGCATTGAAACCAAAAGCAAGCGCGAAAAGCGCTGGGTACATGATAGCGATCGCGAAAAACAAGTTCTAGACTATAGGAGGAGTATTCGGCAACATCACTAGTCGCTGCTGGATCAAACACAGGTGCGGCATCACTTTTCGGATGGGTACAGGGTTAGTAGCTTGAGTTATACAAATGCATAGCTGCACTTCATACCACTAGACATAATCAAAATGACGCTACCGCTCGGATACTTGGAAGCTTGCGCACCACAATTCCCAAGGCAAGCTTTAATCTCCCACTCTCAATCCCGCTACCCTCAAACGACAACGAAGAGAATGATAATCTTGGTCCGTCAAGGTCTACCTCAAGGTTGTTGAAGAATTCGCTCATGTCAGAGGCAATGGCATCATCGTCTGTGAGACCGCTATCATCGTAGCCATCAACGACACTCCGGACAACTGCCGAAACTAAAGGTGCACGGGCGGCCGCCTGGCTGAGTTCTATGCGCAGCTTCTCCGCGCCCCACACCCCGCTAAACGCCACCGTGCGCTTTCTCGGGTCAACAACCACCCCCTGCCGATCAAACACGAAGCTTCGGCCGGCCACCACTGTTCGACGAATAAGCGGGTGAGCTAGGAAGTTGCCGAAATCTTCGGCGCTGAACACGACGATGGCGTTTCCAGAGGGGGGGGGTTGTTCGAAATGGAGGACGCGACGCCGGAACAGCGCACCTACGTCAAGGCGGACTCTGCCCACGTCCACGTCGATGCTTCTGCGAGTAAAGCGCGTCGGCAGGGAAGTGATTGGACGCGCAAGGAAACCGTGTTGGGGGTTGGGGAGAACAGGGCTTCGGATCGCCAACAGAGCCACTGGGGTGCAGTGCCCGCGTACATCCACATCCCACACAAGTAGAAACTACCGCAGGCATGCTTGCTGCTAAACATGCGAGAATCGTGTTGCTGGGTGCGTGCACACGTTCTCAGGAGCGAAATAGCTATTGTTGGGTATAGACCCAAGCACAGAAGAGTGCTACTTGGCCCTCTAGCCCTTCGGAAGGCGCTAACCAATCTTGATACAAATCGTTTGGTACAAGGAAAAGTTGACCACGGATAGGATTGGGATATCGCCAACGGGGTGCCCCACCACCACTGCCAGCGACAGCACGAGCACTCAAAGAGACGCCACCAGTCTGTGGAGCAACGTCATCACGTTCTTTCGGGAGTAGATACTTTTGTTATGGTATTTGTACCCTTGGACTAAGATATCATCTGGGTGGGTATACCTTTCAGGAATATCCCGACCACCTGCCCAGATTCCTAGTATTCCGACTAGCGGTTCAATGGTTACTAGCAGTAGCAAGCGATTTGCAAGCGTCCCACCTTGCTCAGTATTGCCTGGTGTTCCCTGGTGTTGCCTGGGAGTGAGCGATAGCCAGCGACTGAGAGAGAAAGGAAGGATAAGGAAGGAAACAGACTGAAGAAGCGAAGCGGCTCCAACCTGCACACAGTGGTCGGACTAGCGCCACACTGAGCCCGCGTCAGAGATCGTCACATCTCGTCACACTTGGCGTCGTCTTGGATTCGAACGTGCGTCGCTTCAACTTTTTAGTTTTCTTTTCGAGTGCAGCGGGAATTTTTTCTGCTGTGGGATTCGTTGGGTAGACATATCTCTCTCTTTCGTAAGCTTGAGCTTGCTACCATGGTAGCACTCACAGGCGGCGGCGCCGACTCATCCGCAGCCAGCCCACGCGGCACCAATAGTGCTCCACGTAGCTCTGCTTCTAGTGGCAACAGCTCCCCGGTTTCGGCACACTCCGCTACCTCCACAGACGCCAATGAAGTACCTTCCTTGCTGTAGCAAGCAGCCTCATCTTTANAGAACTGCTGTGACAGGGAGGGACTGCACTGCCTAGCAAGTGGACAAGTAGGCAGAGAGCATGAACATTTCCGGGTGAAATTGAACAACGGAGACAGCCAAGAGTGCTTGGGGGTTGACATCGAGAAGCTGTCGAAGTACGTAGGGATGTTTGGATGCAAGTTTGCATCGCGGACATGATAGAAACAGAGAAGGTAAGGAGACAAGAGGCGAGGGTGATGGAGACGAAGAAGGGACCGGGCGGGGGAGGCGAGCAGGCAAGTCAGAAAAAGCCGGGAAGAAGCGTAAGGCGAACGATAGAGTGCGCAAAATCTCCAATAGGGAAAAGCACGACCTGAGAGTCGGGTCGTGGAACGTGTGCAGGTTCGCGAGGAGTGAGCGCAAGCGGTTGGAAATAGTGGACCAAGTAGAACAAAGCGATCTATATCTAGTCTAGTGGGGATCCAAGAGACGTAGGAATGGAAGGATGGTGGTAAGTAAACTAGGGAAATACCGGTGGGTAGGGAAGGCAAGAAAGGGCTTAGACCAGAACAAAAGGGGGGAGGGGGGAGTCGGATTCCTGGTCAAGGAACACTTGTTTGACGTGGTGGAAGTAGTGGTGAAAACGGAGTTCGAGGAAAGCCTATGGCT